CACACACACACACACACACACACACACACACACACACACACACACACATATATATATATATATATATATACACCTACCGTGATTAACTGTTGTCGATTGGGATCGATGTTTTTTTTATGTAAATAATGTATTATATTGTTTGTATTGTGTATAATGTTTTGAATGATCATTAGTGATAACCAGTGCCCTGTCTCTTCACGTTGTTAATGACAATAATTTTGTATTAACGAAGTAACGCCACATGGTACCAGTCAATCATCACTACTATGGCTTCTCCATCTACAATATCCGTGTCTGATCGCGCGCGGCTGATGTGTACGTTTCAGTGTTTAACAACACCGGTAAGCACACGCTGGATGTCTACGGCTTCGATAGCATCGTGCCGCAAAAGTTCCAGAACTGCTCGAGTAACTACATCTACAACAACACGGCCCTCGGGCACAAGTGGAAGGAGCTGAAGGAGCGCTATCGCGGAACGATCATCGTCGGCAACTCGCACCAGCTCTATCAGTACAACCTGCTGCTGAACCCGAACAACGACTACGAGCTAGTGACGCTGAACAAGTCCGAGTAAGTGCCTAGCGACGGTCGCGTGCAGTGCCACTCATTGGTGTCTCATCGATGTGAATGTTTTCACATGGAGGACATTGATTATAGGGTGTTGCTGTTCTAGGTTAACGAGTAAAATCCCAGCTTACCTGTGAAAAATTACGTGTTTTGATATAGCGCATGATACATATGGAACATCCTCCATCGTACTTACTCTCTGTAGTTTTCAGTTACGCTCCTAACCTTCGAAATTTCTACCGCAGTCTATCACGCTCACGCTCATACACGCTCATCGTCTCTCTTCTTGCACTTTTAATATAATGTGTGTGTGTGTGCGTGCGTGCGTGCGTGCCCGTCTATATATGTATATCTGTATATATGTGTACGTATATAGCGAAAACGAGGGAATGTGCCAAAAACGAGAGGGAGAAAAGTTTTTGAAATTATTTATGTTAGGTACTTTATCTCGGAATTAAATTCGGAATTTTCATTATTGTTTAGTAGAAAACAACGTTCGCCACCATATAGCGCAGTAAACACGCATTAAAATGTCACAAGACAATAGTCACACACCTGAACGCTAACAAAATGATCGCTTTTGGCATTGGCGAAAATGATTTCTTCGCTCAGGTATATTTTCTGTTAAAACATGCTTGTTTCGTCTCTATTTAGATTGGATGTGTACCCGAACCCGGTCGATGGCACGATGAACTGGTGGGGATATCCTGATCGAAGCGCCATCGCTGGACGCATATGGGATAAGGAAGATAACGACACCTGGATTAGTGTCAGAATAGAGCCATACTTCGAAACTAACGCTACCCTCGTTAGTGGTAAGTTTTAGCTGACGCTCTGATGTTGACGCAATAATTCACCTGCAAGGCTACGTACTATATATGATAATCATAATAGCGCTGGCTATAACTCATTGAGTTCATTAAGAGAGATTGATGTGTGTCATTTCAGGGAGGTGTGATCCTGGTTGGGTAGCAATGGGAAACTCGTGTCACATTTACATGGGCGGCGTGGCTCCATATCATGCAGCTCGCGAGTTCTGCAAGGTAAGAAATAATTCATGTTAATTTTATTAATCAATATGTAATTAATTAGGTGAATCGTATATAAGTAGGTAAATTGTTATAAAAAAAAGTGCTTAAAATTTTCCTGGAAGATTGAGTTCTGGCATATCGTAAATCATAGTTAAACCCATTGATACAATAAAATGGCATGCCTTGTTAATTGCAAAACCATAAATATGCGAGTGCACGATATACTAATAATAAATAATGCTCGTGTTGTTTACCACAGAAGGAGAAAGGTGACCTTCCATTCATCCGGAAACAAGATATCAGTGCGTTTATCCCCCTGTTAGTATACAACCAGGAGAACTACACTAACCTACAGGCAGTGTGGGTAGCCAGCTACGATTTGCCTAGTGGCTCCTGTGCCATGCTCTATCGAAACGTTATACGTGCGTCACCGTGCAAGAATCTATTTCCTTTCATATGCGAAAAAGGTTAGCATCATTGCAAGCAATTTTTTGCCTAGTGTTAGTGTTACGTTTTGAACGTAATTTACTCCCTAATGTATGTAGCATATAGCGCGTTATATAATAATATATTATATCACATGAATAGTACATTAATCGTAATACATAGCAGAATTAATCGTAAACGTATTTTCCCTAAGGACGTGTTTCCCCCCTTACTAAAAATTATATTATATTACCAATGTTAATGTGCAATATTTTCGATCGTGTTTCTTGCAGATCCAGCGCTCACCATCAACATATGGGCCGCATATTGGCCGATGATCGTCGCTGTAGTCGCCGCCGTGCTGCTGCTCGTGCTCATCCTCATCTTGGCGTTCTGCTGGTACATCAAGTCTCGCAAGCGTAAGCAGGAGCAGCTGGTGCGGCGCGACAGCATCCGCCGCTCGATCCGCGACGGCAGCCTGCGCAAGAAGGAGGAGAAGAGCGCCGAGAGCGGCGACGCCGAGTTCACGGGCGTCGGCTTCGTCGACGTGCGCGTGCGCATGCCGAACGGCTCGACGACGTCGTCGACCGACAAGCTGCGCACGTCGATGTCGTCGTTCGAGCAGGCCGCCGGCAAGTACTCGACCGATTCGGCACGCAAGGACGCCAAGCACGACTCGTTCGGCAGCAGTGACGAGTTCACTGACGACGAGGAGGTCGCCCAGGCGACCAACAACGCGCTGAAGGGCGAGTCAAGCCAGACGAGCAGCACCGAGCGCGTCTTCCTCAATCTCGACCAGCAGAACGCGCGGCTCGGCCCGCCTGCCGCGGGTCCAATATACGCCAACGGCGAGGCGATTCACCAGTCGTACAAGGACATGGTGAACGCGATGGATCGCAGCTACGACACGCCGTCGACGGACAACACCCCGTCGGCGAAGGGCAAGAGTAAGAGCAGCGCGTCGTCCGACGACGACCTTGGCTACAAGCCACGCCAGCGGCGCTCCTACCAGAACGCGCTCGACAACGAGATGCTACTTAGCGACGAGGACCTCTTGCGGCCCGAGGCGCGCACGCCGAGCCGACGGCCGCAGTACCACCAGGACACGATCCCCGAGGACGCACCCATGCCGCAGCCGCGCGCCCGCAACCCGGACATGGACTTCAAGAGCATCGACAGCCTGCCGTACGACACGCCACTCGCCGACGACCCGCACGGCGGCCGCAACTCGCCGACGAGCATATCGGCGGTGATCGAGAGCATGCGCAAACCGGCGCAGCAGCCGCCGTTCGACCCCTACCAGCGCTACCCGGCCGGCTACAAGCCGCAGCCGGCGCGCTCGTTCGACAACCTGCATCGCAAGCCTGTGCCGCGGCCGCCGCGGCGCTACCCGTCGCCGCGCATCAAGCCGCAGACGTCCTACCGCAACATGGTCGACCAGCTCGCCGACGACGCGCCGGAGAAGCGGTCGGCGGCCGGCGCCAGCGACATCCCGCTCAGCGCCGTACCGTACGGCTTCCGCAGCGGCGGCCCCTACGACGGCACGTCGTCCGTCGTCGACTATATAGACCGGAGCGAGCACGGCAGCCTCGCGTCGCACCCGTACGGCAGCATGGAGCAGATGGACAAGTTAAGCATGTCGACGGACATGGGCACGGAGACGAGCAGCGTCGCACCGAGCAGTGTCACAGCGAGCAGCATCGCACCGAGCAGCGTCGACGGCGATTCGGAGGCGGTGGAGCGGCCGCCTGAGTCGCACTACGAGAACGTGCCCGTCGTGCGCCGCTACCCGAGTCAGGCGCAGAGCATCGCGCCAAGCGAGGCCGTCGAGCAGCTGCCGTCGGTCGACACGGCGTCGAACGTGCTGCTGTCGTCGCCCTACCGCGACGACTCGCCGCCGATGTACACAAACGTCGGCTACGACTCTTCGTCGCAGTCGTCGACGCCGAGGCGCGGCAGCGGCGACAGTGCGAATAAGCCGCAGCCGAAGGAGACGTCGATGTGATGCCTGCCGACGACGATGACGACGACGATGAAGCATCTGTGATGACATTCTAAATCTTAAATCCCGGCGTGCTGCACGACGTGTCCGCGTGCTTACAATGATATTTGCTGATAGGGGTCGCGGCAAGTGAACACGTGCGCTCATGGGCTACGAACGATTTCGTGGCGCTTTCGTTCGTCCATTGCATTCATGTATAAGAGAAAGGGTAATAGTTGGGGAAATCGATGGCAATTAAGTGGTCATTTTACTTTAGCGCAGACGGTTTAGTCTACTCTTATTTAAATGTTTGTGAGATTTGATTTTCCTACACACTAATTTTACCTGTACATATAGAAGGTAGTTGGTTACGTGTCTTTATCTGGCTTTATATTGTTACCAGATAAAGGTCGAGGGGCTGGGCAGCCATTAAAATGAAGAGCGTTAGTACTATTATATACTACTTTTGTCAATATTATAGTTATTATCATTATTATTCAAGCAAGATTTATGCGCGAACACGATTCATACTGTCTTGAGTGTATGACTGTAGGAATATTTTATACCCAACCATGCAATTTTATAATGATGAATTTAAATGACGGACCTGTGAATGAATCGTTAATCCGTCTTCTCATAGTCATTGCTGTAAACATTTATACCGGAGATGTAGGGTCGTTTAGTTTGTATTGCAAGGCGGGTTGCTTCGTTGTGTGGATCAAAATCCTCTATAGCGAAAAGTGATTTATAAAGATGTCATCGTTTTGTGTATTATAATTATGTAGCAAGATGATACCATGTCATCTTTCCATTGTTTGATTTGACATTACCTGACATGTTTTAATTATACAATTTTTATGCTGTAATTTCGTGTTCAATAGTACTATATGGCTCCTCAATATTGTTCTTGTTTGTTTAGAAGTCATGTGGTTATCATTGTTTAGTCGTCATGTGCTATGTGAATATAATTTTTTCACTATTCTATGGCGATTTTTGATGCAACGCCAAATGTCCCGATTCCATGTAATATATTATGCAGCTTCACTACTGCCAATTACAAATGATGATCGAAACAATTAAATCGTTTGTTTGTACCTACAAATGTGATTAATTGTACATTCTTTTTTTCTTCTTTTAATGTTCCGATACCGCTCGAAAACGATTATTATACAGCTATTAAAATAAATATATAGACATAATATGCCCGTGCTATAACTTTATATATATAGTGAGAATGATATAATAAATTTTAGGCGTGTCATATACTCAGCGGAGCTTTGCTTTATATAGACGTAGGTATGCGGAAGACTTTGATTAAACTCATCAGTCAACGCATGCATTACGTACTAATAGTGAAGATTGACGTTTATCGATGTTATGTGGTGAATGCTATACGTCTCTATCGGTTATATTATAACATATATCGAGAGTCGCAGCTAGAGACACAACAAATAGCATTACGTCATCATATCTGCAAGTTAGTTGAATGAGTCGATTAGCGAATGAGGTTATTTACACAAATTCACCTATAGTTCGTGACGCGTGTGTATACAAAGCACCTGCAAGCGTGCTGCAGGTTTAAATAAACAATAGAGAACAAAATATTAAGGTTAACCCACGCGTGGGTTTCGATATACGTAAACTAAATAGCGGATTTCCCCATCCGTTTTGCGGCCGGAGAGCTTTACTCCTCCGTCCTCACACGTCTGTTTCGTTGAAGTCCTCCTCCACCCAGGCGATCACTTTTCCCTCCCAGCCTGGCAGCGCCGCGTCGTCGTCACACACCTCCTCCTTCACCGCACCGAACTCGGGGTCCTGCGACTTGAAGTGGAAGCGAAAGCAGCCCGGACGCACGAACACCGTCTTGAAATCCCGCAGCGTCACGTCGCCGAGCGGCTTCTGAATGACGCACATGAACGGCGTCACCGTCGCGTCAGTGTAGTAGAGAATCTTCGTCGACGTCACCCGCTCCGTCAGCGGCGGACCTGCGTCGAGGCTCCCTAGTAGCGTCGCCATCGACAGTGGCGACCTCTTCGTCGGCACGCGCATCGGCGACGTCGAGCGCGACTCGCGAATCGCTCTCGCTGCCGACGCTAACTCCTGCGTCGGAGGCATCCTGCCCGACGAGGCACCGTCGTTCGTTTTCGTCGACGTTGACGATGGCGCCGACACTGACGCTGCCGCTGCTGCTGCCGCCGCGCGTCTGCTGCTGAGCAGCTCGATGCGTCGGCGGATCTCATCCGGCGGACTGCGCAGGTTTCGCGGTGGCACCGGTGGCGCCCTCTCTGGCAGCCTGTCCAGCAGCTCTTCGCAGACGTTCTCGTAGATGTTGGCGTCGTAGCCTGACGCGGGTTGACGCGCCGCCGACGTAGTGGCCACCAGGGCGGCGATCTTGTCCTCGGCCGCGCGCAGTCTGTCTACGATCGCGGCGACGCTCTGCTCCAACGCGTCGACGGTGCGATGCTGCGGATCGGCGTTCGAAAACCCGAGGCGTAGAGTGCAGATGGCGTCTTTGACGACGCGCAGCTCCTGCAGATGGAGCTGCAGTTGCGGCTGCGTGACGCCATTGTGGAAGTGCAGCGGGGCGCTGTTCCAGCTGCCGGCGCGGCCGCCCGGCTGATTCAGCACGAGCACCTGCGTCCTCAGCGACTTGACGTGCGACTGCAGCGGTCGCATCTGTTCCTCGCTCTCCCTGAGTTTCAGTTTGCTATCCTCGCGCGCCTGGTTAGCGATGGCTAGCTCGCGCGTCGTGTCCTTCAGCTGCGCGCGCTGCGACTGCACGAGCTTGTCGCGCTGAGCTACGTCCCGGCGCAGTGCCGCCACCTGCTGGCTCAGCGCGTCGACGACCTTCGTCCACTCGCTTCGATCCTCCTCGACGTAGCGCTGAGCGAAGCCGAGTCGCTCGACGTCTCGTCTCAGCTCGCCGAACAAGACCTCTTTCTCTGCGAGGCGCGCTTGCAGCTCGCGGTTGCCGCTCTCCAGGTCCGCACACCGCTGATGCGACGTCGACAGCGCGGCGTGCATGCGCTGCGTGTCCACCTGCGCGCACGAAGAAGAAGCGTCGGCCGTCGTCTGCGGTGTGTCCTGCGCGCCGTCGCCCGTGATGAGCAGCGAGCGAAGCTGCACGAGCGCGTGCTGCACGTAGGCGACGTCGTAGAGCATGTCCGCCGTCGTGACGGCGTCGTCAGCTTCACGCTGCGTGCCGTCGCCTTGCTTAGCGGTGCCGTTAGCGAGTGGCTCCAGTGGCGCTCGAGAGCAGACGCCCTTGCGCGACCCGGCGAGCGGAGCCGGCATCTTGAGGCGCACACTGGTCGGCGACAGTTCTCCGGGGCTGTGCCGACTGCCGTTGTAACTCGGCGAGCCGGGCGAACTCTCGCCGTCGACCTCGCCGACTAGTGACCGGTCGTCGATCGTCGCGCAGTGGATGCGCTGCAGCGCCGCGCGGCGTCCGGACAGCGAACCGCCGTCGGCGGAGAGCGACTGCAGGTCGGCGCTGGCACACGACGCGCCCTCTGCGAACGACTGATCGCAGCGGCGCTCGTCGCTCGTCGCCGTCGTCACGCTGTCGGCGTCGCTGTGCGGTGCGTTGTCGTCAGACGGCACGCCCTCGGAGCCGGCGCGCGGCGGCTGACTCCTGGCGGCCTTGATGCTCTGCGGCTTGTAGTGAGCGGCGAGCGCGAGCACGGTGCGCATGATCGCCTTCAGGTTACCGTCGACGATCTCCTTCGACGAGATCTTGTGCATCTTGACGCGCTTCTGCGACATGAACTGCAGCACCTTGTCGACATTCTGCCGCTGCGCTGGTCGCGTCGCCGGGTCCGTGTCGATGTCCAGCACGGGCTCGCCTGAAACAACGACAATGTGACGGTCATGTTGCTGCCGATCGCGACTGTCAATCTCTCTCTCTCTCTCTCTCTCTCTCTCTCTCTCTCTCTCTCTCTCCTCTCCTCCTCCTCCTCCTCCGTCCGTCCGTCCGTCCGTCCGTCCGTCCGTCCGTCCGTCCGTACCGTA